TTTTCTCTATTCGATCATTGTTTGTTGTTTTGATAGAAATAGTGATAGCTCGATAGTTTTCATAATTTTGTTCTTCTTCAAGAGAAGGGACAGAGAAAGTAACATTTTATTTTTACCCTGATGTTTAATATTCCTATTGCACTCGAGAAGTTTTGTGTGATCGATTATTTACATGTTACCATTGGTATTGTTGCATAAAAGTAGTTTTCTCAAGTTCATTTCATTATGAAGAGTGACAGAAAGTTGAATAGTTGGTAAAAGAAAGTTCTACTCTTGAATAAAGATCATCGTTTCAATACGAAACAACAGCCAGCTATAGAAATCGATGAGTCACTCAAAAAATGTTTGGGTATTCTACCAAAATACAAAACGATTCCACTGTATAATTATGTGAGCTTTACCTGCTCGCTGAATAGATGAAAGATAATAGGTGTTGAAAAACGACATTCGTCATGTTACTTTACTCGAGAGCTAAGTTATTATCGGAATTTTAAAAAAAGGGCATCGGGCAAAATGCATATAACTTTTGAACGAAGATAGCTAGAGCCCTGAGGTTTTCACCACTTGAAAGGGAAGACAAGGGGACGCCTTTTTCTTCAATACTGTATAGGACGAAATCATTTAAAAATCAGTCATTTCTACAAAACATCGAAGAACTGCATGAAAGCGATCTGTCATTCGGATAAATTTTTTGGTTCTGACATCTGATCTAGATAGGGGAACTTCGGATGTGCAGTTGAAGGTATAATTCGAATGATTATCTTTCCATCTCCTAATGTTGAACAAATAAACTTCTTTATTCAATCTCACGAAAACTATAGAGTTCTTTTAATTTTTAAGCATATTGTCTTATCTTTCGTCAAAATTTCATCTGAATGGCAGACCGTTTTTCATACATTTTTTCGATGTTTTGTAGAAATGACTGATTTTTAAATGATTTCGTCCTATACAATATTGGAGAGAAAGGCTTCTCCTTGTCTCCCCATTCGAATGGTGAAAACCGCAGAGTTTTAGCTATCTTCGTTCAAAAGTTATAAGCATCTTGCCCGATAGCCTTTTTTTAAAATTCCGATAATAGGTAAAATGACATCTAGGAGTTCAATCGAATCTTTCTGAATGCAAAATGCTAAAACGTGCAATCGTTTCTGATGTAATTTGAATATTTACCCAACGATTGTAGCGAAGAGATGAGCTTAAGTTTGAAATATGGTGTGGATGTGAGTGTGGGTGTAGCTAGAAAATAGAATATCCGCACCTACACCCCACATCCACACTCTTTTACGGATCGAATTCGGTTCAGTTCGAGTTCGATTCGTTTTCGGTCTCTGATTTCAGTGATAAACCACATTCAATCTTTCTTGCGGTTGAAAGCGATTTAATCTTTATGTTCCGCATTTCTGTCAGATTTAACTAAAAATACGTCATTTTGATTTCAAACACTTTGATTCTTCTCATAGTCACTATATACGTGAAAATTCATCGGTTGTGTGGTAGATGTGAATGGATAAGTCAAAATGCAGTGTGCATGTGGCATAAATACCAGACACCCACTCACACTCATCCTCATCCTCCAGTCCAGCAAAGCCAGCGACCGACACGTTACTTATTTGTAGAAGTTGTTTCATAAACAGTAGTCCTGGTTTATTCACTGAATAAAAAAATTCGATCGTGATCATATCGTTGTCAACTACACCTAGAAGGTTAAATTTTCAACAGCCCTTATCGGATGGGTTCCGACAGTCTGCAATTGTTTGTAACAGATCAGACTGTAACTTTTACCATATATAGACTAAAGACCTCTCATTCTCACCTCTTCGGTACATTATTGATTGTCTATCATCCTCTCTTTCATTCTCCGCTTACACTAAACCAGATGATGATTCACTTTTGTATTAAGAATATTTGTTTTTCGGAACTCTATTGAATAATAAATCGAAAAATTTAATACAAGAATTTATATATTTGTGTAAAGAAGGAAGTAAAAAATAAAAGAAATTAAGGAATTGTCAATGAAAAGAAATTAGCTACATCTTGCTATTGCTTGTTTTTATTCTTTTTCTTCAATTTTAAACGTTTTTTATTCCCAAAAGCCAACAACTGGCGTTAACGATGTAACGAGCTGTGCCTGCTGAATCCCAGTTACAGTAGAGTTTTGTAAAACCACAATCTAAGCATAATCGTCCTTCTGTTGATATCGAAGGTGGATCATACACAGCAATACTAGAATTACCATCGGTAGCTGTTGCTATAGTGACAAATACCTCGCGACTTGCTGATGTTGAATATACTGGATGACATATAGTGATGCCCTCGAATAAATTTGTGATTCCGGTAAAAATTTCATGTTGACCGAAATTTCCAGCTTGCAGATAACCGTTTTCTTTGTATGTCATTGTTTTTCCCCCATAATAGTTTCCTTCGACAGTTATACCAAATTTTGTTCTAAGAAATTCAGATACATGACATACGTATGGTGTATTATCAGCAAATAAAAAAATAGCACCACCAGCTGAATGAAAAGCTGTTAAAGCTGAAATAAATTTCGAATTTCGAATTTGAGTAGAACTGATAATCCATGCAATTTGATAACGATTTGAAGCAAGTTCTGTTATACATTCATCCTCAGTAGTTACATGTTTCACTTGGAATCCTTTGATCTTCAGTGCATCAATTGGCTTTTGCATGTCAAAATTATAAAACTGTCCAATTAAAATATTAAATCCC